CGGCTGCAGAACACAGTGCGGCTCGAGGGACAAGGTAAGTAAATGCTATGTGGCTTTCCCGAGTGTAGCTCGGGGTTACCGCTTATGGTATGGAAAAGTAACCCCGAGCTGCACTCGGGAATACCGCCAGGGAGGTTAAGGGCCTGGTATGACTTTTAGGGGGAACCCTACACTTTAAAAAAAACTAAAAACTGGTCCCTCCTAACATTCCTACCAGACCTAAAGGAAAGGTGGAAAGAAGCGCTGCAACCCTGGGATTTGCTGGAACGGTATAGGTACGACCTTTAAAGGAATTATAAAAATGAAAACTCACTGTTTTGGAAGAGGGGATGAAATCTTACAGTTGATTAGAACGCTCAGGAGTAACTCTGACCAGTCCTTGTGGGTATAGGGCACGGGTTTCAGACGGACGAGCTGGAGTCTTCACGGTAGAGCTCTGAAAGCAGTGTGTCGGCTTAGAGTGCTGGGCAGTATCTGTGGCTGGTTGGTGTGGGTGTGGAGAACGGACTACATGATTCTGGGTCAATCTGTTGTAGTTCGTCTGTGGTTGATGTGGCTGGAGGGTCAGTTAGGCAGGGTGAACTATGATGTTTGCCGTGGGGCTCGCCGTCAGGTGCAATGAGAGCGCAGCTGGCCAGGCTGCCACTCGTCGGCTGAACGGGAGCAGGAGTGCCGCTGTGTAGCGGTATCTTTTGAATGAGCGATCGTGCTGCTAGATTGTCTTGGCAGTGGGCTCAATGCTGACGGACACTGCGGTCCGTAGGATGGAGGATTGGCTACGCGTTTCGAGGTACAAGACCTCTTTATCAAGCCCGAAGTGGTTTGCTCTAAAGGGTCTGGTATTGTTTGGTAGGGGGAACTGCACACTTTAAGAGTAAAAAAAAAATTCATTTTTTTTTCTTTAGAAATATCAGTTTTGCTGCAGCAGGTTCTATACATCCTACAGATCCGCCACTTCACAGGCAGGTTAAGGGGACCCCCCAGGCATGATATTTGAAGGAATTTGTCATTTTTATTCTTTCCCTTCTTACCCTTTATCCTCCCTGGCTGTCTGATTATCTGAGGCGCTCGCAAGGGAAGGAACCCAGAAGACGGATGCCGGCTTTTGCCCGGAGGACACAGCGGGGCTCGTAGGGTTAAGGAAAGTGACGCACAGTGTAATCCCAAGTGTGGCTCGGGGTTACCGCTTTTGGTACTGAAAATTAACCCCGAGCCACACTCAGGATTACCGCCAGGAAGGTTAAGTGATGTTAAAATTTTAAAATCACTGCTCCTTTAAAAACTTTTTTTTTTCATTGATTCCTGTCTGCTAGTGCAGTACTCGAAACCCCATACACCTTTTATGGACAATAATTGCATATAAGCCCTCTTAAAGAGGACATTCGTTTCCGAAAGTTTGACACCCATTTACTTGCATTAGGTTCGAGTTCGTATTCAAACTTTTCGGACGTTCGAGTGTTCGAATACAAACCGAACACGGGTGTGTTCAGCCCATCACTACCTGTGACATGGCAAGAAGTGAGCAGAATTCTCCACAAAAGTGACAAAAAAAGTAAAAAGCTGTCTGACATTCCAATACTTACCCACTTCATCTAATATAAAAGAAATACGCTTTGACTGGAATTCTGCTTTAACTGGTTCCTGGAGAATTCTTTCAATTGTCCAAACACTGTACTTTTTGTCTTTTAGAAACCTTCCAATAGTAAACCCGAGAGCAGCATGGACCTCAGGGGTGCCTCCATTGACTGGGCCCAGGAAATGTCCAGCAAAAAGAATGTAATTCATGTAAGTTACCATAAGCTGAAGTGATCGCATTTATAAAGTGAAAGAGTGGATATTACATGGCCAATATTTAAAAAAAAGTTACATGGAGTTGGGAATAAATTTTCCCTAATCCAGAAATAGAAATAAATCACCAGTTTGCCCATGTGGCTCCTGTGTAAGGAGATAAGGTTAAAATGTCAGTCTCCTGCTGGTCACAAACTAGTAGATTTTACTGTTTTATAGTTGAAAGCCCAAATTGTTTAAGAAGAATAAACACATAACTCTACTGACAAGTATTAAATTCATATTTACAATAAAAAGAGAACTATGGCCCAACCTTTTTAGTCCATAGTTCTCTTTAGGGTCACAGGAAGACATTTACTATGTCCTCCTGTGGCCCAAAACTCAGTATGTAGCGCGCTATTGCCCGCTATATGTTGACAGCGCAGAGCCGCGCCGGGGCTGGGAAAGATCCCGACAATATTGTGGGGATTCACCACACCATCTGATTGACAGCTGGCTCTGTCCAGTCTAGCTAGTCAGCGCTGGAGGAACAAAGAGGGAGGGAGGAATCCCTGCAGGGAGTGGTCAATGACTGTGACTATGCAGGAAGATGACTGGGGAGTGAGCGATCATCAGCTCTCAAACTATAGAGCCGACGTGTGACAGCTTTAGAGTCACACGTTGGCTCTAAATATGGGGATGAGTGTATTTTACTCTCCCCATAGTTCTCCTTTAACTAAAATCCAGGATTAGCTAGCTGCGCAGATAAGCCATGATAAAGGGGGATTTGTGCATGACTCCTAAAATGCATTTACTGGTAACTTTTAGTAGGCCCCTTTATTGAAAAAAAAAAAAAAAAAATATCTGGACCAATCCCTATAGCTTGGCACTCTCATCCATTCGATCCATACAGGTTGACTCTCCTAGGAACCACACTGGGGCTCCATGGGGGTAATAGAGAGCTGCCACACTATAACAACCATTTGATACAGTCAGAACTACCACCAAGCTTTTCACTCCAGTGCTCCACCACTCCAAATATGAAATATCTCTAGTCCTGGCAGTTTGATAGCTAATTGTTACTAATGTGATACTTATTCGTATGGAACCTTTTTACCAACTTTGCTACAAGAAGGAAGAATGAATAGCAATGTAAAGAGTTAAATTTTCTCGATTTTTAAAAATACAAAAAATATTTTAGGAATTAATATATCTATATAAAATCTGTAGTGGAGATTTTTTTCCTCACCTTTAACCAGTTATACATCCAACACTAAAAGGAAAGATGTCAATATATCAAAAAGTAGGGCTGCATGACAGTTGTTAGGGTGCATATAGTAATGGAATCTGTGAGGCTTATATCCTGATTGCCCTGCTTAATAGAGTACTCTATTGTCTCTTGAGTGTTCCGGTGGTCACATACTACGGGAATTGCTTTATCATCCTCTGCAAAAAACTGGCTTTGACCCAACTTTATGCATATGTGATGTGTGCCCTCTGCAGCTCCGCATGGTAACAGGCAACGAGTTCCTGCTGCAGTCTGACAAGGAGTCTGTTGTACAGGAGTGGTACGATGCCCTGCAGAGAATCATTGAGAGATTGGTAAGTTACACTATGAGCACAAATGTCTTATGGTTTATTTCAGCTTCTTTGCACATACTTTTAATTCATTGCATTGCCAAGGTATCTGTTCAAACCAGATAATCACATCTGTGTGTTTATAATATTGACTAAGTATAGACACAAGCAACTAAGAGACTGGAGCAAATGTTCTATAGGGCTGCTGCCTATAGTGACCAGTTTTGTTTAACCTGTGACAGATTAATTTCATTTTTTAAGAGAACTGTGTTGTTTTCAATGCTGCATGCAATATCAATCATAACTCATAGAAATAACAAATTTAGAAGTGAAAAGTTTACCTTAATTTAAATTGCAATGTAAATTTACATTTTCCTTCATAAGTGTAAACACATGTAAAAAGAATATATACATTTACTGTATTATATTATTTTAGACATAATTTAACCCTTTCGCTGCCAAGCCCTCCGGAACATTTTTCAAATCAGCTGGCCAAGCCATTTTTGAATTTTCTGCAATTTTTTCCTATTGATTTGATTTTCAACTGCTGCGTTGCTAGCGTTTGTAAAAGACCCCCCAAACCATATATTTTCTGAAAGCGCAGGCCCGGTAGAATAAAAAGATGGAGTATTTATAGTTAGTTATTATACAATCATATGTAACTTATTATTTGATTCAATGTTTAGAGAGCCTGTCAGGAACTGTACACACAGTTTAAATTTTTACTAGGGGTCTGACTTCTATCCAAAGCTCTGTCGTATTGCCTTTTCCCTTTCCAGTGATAAAACCTAAAGCTGAACTCTGGGAAAAACAAACCCCCACACTTCAAGGGTTAAATGCTCATTTATGTCTAGGGTACCTGTAAAAGGACTTTTACTTACCTGATCCCTGCTCCTGCAGGCTCCCGCCAGGCTACGAGACTGGCACCTGTAGCCTCTTCCCCTGTGCTCCAGCAGTTGGAGGCCTGCTGACTAGTGATGAGCCGAACACCCCCGTGTTCGGTTCTAACTCGAACTTTCGAACATACTGACATCATCAAGTACAATGCAGGTTCCATTTCCCTGCATTATACATGAGGATGTAGAAGGCTAGTCCATAAGACAGACAGAGCATAGGGTAGATGAGGGGGGATCAGGTAAGTTCATTTAACCCTTGACTGGGGACAGTCTTTAAGTGACCATTAACAACACTTTTACAGGGCGGAGGAAAATAAGTAGAGCTTAAAGCAGAGCTCCAGGCAAAAATGTTCTTAACCCTTGCAGTCGAGCTACCCTCATATTGCAAGGGTTTAAGAGCTCATTCTTGTCTAGGTGTTTAAAAAAACGTAGAGCCAATTGGCTGTTATTCTGGTACCTGAAGCTTGTCTCTGTTATGTGTTTAGATAAAGCACTGAGTTCTCGAGGAATGCTGAATTAAGTTGTACTTGCTTAGGAGGACATTATATCAGAATATAGCATTATATATCATAATAGAAGGAAACTTATATATAATGATAGAACTTCCTGTATATCACAGATAGAAGCACGCATATAGAAAAAACTAGCATAAACTAGACTTGCACTACAGCACCATCTAGTGCTCAAAAGACATAACAGTACATTAGCATTACAGTAATACAATCAGTGCTTATTAGCATACGTTGGAGTATTACCAACAGTCTCCTCCTCCACTGCAGCGATGCTATGTCCCTTGGGATCCTCATGTCCTATACACTGTTTGTAGACCTTGACAACTCAAGGATTTTGACAGCCCTGCAGCGAAGGGGGAGAGAGGCTCCAGGGACTGGTTTAAGAACAAGTTTTTTTGTAGCCCCACAGCAAGGGTTAAGAACATCTTTGCCCAGAGTTCTGCTTTAAGTCAGAAGTTAGTGAAGTCATAGCCCTCATGATAAAATTAAATGAAAACAGAGAGGAACATGGAAGAGGGTTTTCTAGATAATAAAGGTAATAGGATGAACCTTGTGGTACCTTAGGAAGGACTTGTACTTGTAACCATTTAGGTGGCTGACAGGATCACTTTATAGACTCCAGTTAGGTTTTAAATAAGCTGAAAATAATACCTATCTGCTTATTGGTACACATTTGCCTACACTTATTTGCCACTTTCCGGATCACATTCACTTTTACATAATTTACTGGCCGATTTGTCACAGTTGAATAAAAAAAGTCAAAATTTGCTGTGGGTTCCAGGTGAATCAATCTTCATGAATCTGTTTATAAATAGACCAGTCAGACTAATATTCTGACATACAGCAACTTTTAAATAATTTTACTGACCCTGACACTGTACTATAGACATGAACTTTGAAAGGATAATGCTAGAGGTACAACGAAACAGAATTTTCAAACTGAAACCAAAACCGAAAATAAAAACATTTGTCAGTCCTAAACCGAATAAAAAAATGTTTCTAACCTTTTCAAATTTGTTAATATTTTTTTTTTTAACTTTACTGTCAGGGGAAATATCCAGGGTCTAAACATGACATTGCATATAACTAGGTTTCTTAGCATAAAGAACATATGCAATCAAAACCTAGAATTACTTGTATACCTACTGTAGATAATAATTACATTCCATAGTATTTTTTTATTATTATTAATAATCTTGACACCCTATTTAATACTTTCTACACCTTTTTTTAGATACTTTTATCAGGGCAAGTTTTTAGGATCTCCTAATCCATGTACAAGTGAAGCATGAAACATATTAAAATAATAATTTTACAGCATTTGTACTATTTAAAAATCCTGCTAGTAGTCATGCTGAGATGAGGGCTGAGAAATGATGATTTAACCAATCCAAATTCTCTACATGTAGGAACGAGAAAATCCATTGGAGGAAATCATTTTGAGGAGAGCAGGCAGTATGGAGGTCCTGGATGGAAGTGGCGGAGAAGAGGAGAGCCTCCCAAAGAATAAAGATAGCCGGATATTCTCATGTATGTTGGCTGTAGTCAAGGATGATTTTTCATATATTTATGCAACTATCATTATCACTTTGTTATACATGTACTGTAAATGCTTACAGATTGATGTTGTTATACACCACCCATGTACAGTTTAGTTGGGCAGTAAATGGTAACCACTACAGTCTATACCTCACCACAGGGAAAATGTAATAAAAGGAAGTTTTAGATTGGTATTGGTACTCGATTGGTTGTTGTGGGTGATTCTTTTTGTTTTAGTTCTTGTAAATCTGCACCAGTATCAGTGGCAAAAGTGTTTGGTGTGCAGCTATTCAATTTTATTACCTATCTATTGGATTATACATGAGGTTGGACTGTAGCATATTTAGAAACTGGGGGCATGTCTTGAATAATCATAAACCTGTGAATATTGTATTTATTTTAAATCCTGAATTGGGTAGCACTGCAACTGTGTTGACATTTTTTGTTGAATCCATTAAGGGGCACAGCAATGTGCAAAGCGCATGAATAGTGCAGCAATGTCTCTTTGCCTGCTGCTGTCAACAATCCTGTGTATGTGTTCCCTGTGAACACATACAGAGAAGAGCTACACTGACAGACTCCACTCCCCATGCAAATTTGGCATTCCTATGAAAAAGCTACAGTACAGCACTGTAGCCAGCCCTCTCTCTCCTCTGTGTGCTGTGAAGTGCCTCCAACAAGTAAACAGTGCAGCGATGCACCTCTGCCTCCGTGGTCACCTACAAAGGGAATGACAGCGCTTGCACTGCTTCACTTCCCTCCATGTGCTAATGAAATATGCATTACCTGCTAAGCAGTGTGGTTGAACAGTAGTGGGGGGGAAGAGGCACTGTCGACCATGCGAGCCCAGCAACCAGCAAATGGGTATCCCACATTTTCATTCAAAAATATCCCTGTTGTAAACCCTTTTATTTAACAGCAAGATAATTGGCTCCATTTTGGCCAGGACACACTATTTTCAGAATTCAGTTTCTACAGCATACCAGCCAACCATCGAATGGTGCTACTTAAAGTGCCATTTAATAGGCATTTAGAGGTGTGGTCTTCCATGCCAAAGTTTACAGAGGCAGGGCTCCGTAGCTAACATAACACCCTGCTGTTATAGATCCACATTTTCTGAATTACTGAAAAATCTTAGTTACAGTTTTGACAGTATTGGCAGCGATGAGAAACAGAATGATACTAGCAAACCAGTAGTTAAAATATATGTCAATGGCATAATATGAAAAAACATCTGCAGTACTTTGCTGCAATACATGCATATTCCCTATGTTTTATACCTGTAAAAACCCTGCAGGTACATAGAAATATCCATAGATTTGCTAGAAATGCACTCGGCTCCTAAGTCCTGTTGTCGGCTGATAACACACAGCATGTTTCTTGACAGAGAAGTGCCAGCCCTGCACTGTTTTCTTTTGCTAAACTACTCAGATCCACCACATCCTATTATGCACAATAAAGTGACTAATCATTCTGAAGTCCAAACTAGGAGGGTAATTAAACTCCTTGAGATAACAAAGGAATTGTGCACAGGACTCCTTTGAATTGCTGACAACTGGTATATTTTAGCAGTTACCCAACAGATATATCAAAATATTTTTAATGATTTATTTAATAGGCTGAAAGGTAGCAAATAAAAGAAGTTCATTGTTAGGATGTACATACAAAAAAGTATTGATTTTTATAAATCCAATAGCAAACCAAATCTCTTTTCCACTCTGCATATTCATATTAAATTGGATAGTTTATAATCATTTGGATTTATGTTTCTTTATAATGCTTGGAAGTTAGATTAAAACAGAAATAATTAAAATGAAAAGATTTAGAATGTACAGAGTGTGTTGCAAGGATGTATCTAATATTAAATCTTGATACTGTATATATTAAAAAATCCCTGCTTTTAGCTTTAATTATTACTATTTTACTAATTTATTGCAGACTGTGGGTATAAAGGGACTCTAACAATGACATTAAAACATAAATACACCAGAAAAGGGATTTCCCCCCCCCCAAAAGGTCTTAAAGTAGAACCAATCCTTTTTTATTTGCATATTTCTACTGCTAGTAAACGGTGGAGATATGCAAAAACATAATAAAAAATTAAAAAGGTTACCAAAAAGGTTATTACTTACCTGTGTCTCCGCCGCTCGCTCCCGTCCGAAGATCTGAAGAATCATGGGGCTGGCGCATGCGCAGTAGAGATCTCCAGCCGGGAGACGAGATGAGACACAGGGTCAATACACGCAGCCCGGCAGCATGCAGGCCCACAGACACCGAGAGGCACAGAAGACACAGCAGTCAGCGCTGGATCAGAGACCGGCACCAGCGCTGGAGGGACTTCTGAAGCCACTGGAAAGAAGAAGATGATTGGATCAAGAGGTATCATTTAAGGTAAGTCCTCGAAGCAGCATTGAGGAGGGTGGAGAATTCGACTTTAATATCACTTTAAAGACTTAGACTGGAGAAGTGCAATCTTCTTCACATTTTACTAATCGTTAGAAATTTTAAGATTTGTTATAATTTTGCCACTGAATAATATATTACACACAACAAATTATTTTGCATATTTACGTAATGTACAATCCTTTTAGTGTTACTTATTACAAATCATTTTCCGCTCATGTGTAGAGTTCTGGAATGCTTCAGGAAGCCGGTTTGAGACCTCATAAATAATCTCAGGTTTTATTAGGGAATCTAATTTTGCTGGCTAGAGCAGCAGTTTTGCATGGGGGCATAATAATTGCTTTAATATAGGTTTGATCATGTTATTTTATATTTAAATGTTTTATTTATAGTATGTATGTTCTTTTTTCCCCTGTATATAGTATCCTGGGTGAGCAACAATGTTGGAGGTGTTGATAAAAAGAAGGTGAAGCATAGGTTGAAAAAGATGTTGATGAAAAGACCTCCACTTCAGACCTTGCAAGAAAAAGGCCTAATTAAAGGTCAGTTACTATGGGGGCCATCTTACATATAATTAAAGTGACACTAAACTCAGGAGTTAAATCTTAAAAATGCATTGAAATACCTTAACTATTAACAAAAATGTATCTTATTTGTGTATCACTTGGCTGTAGATCCTCAAATCATCTCTGAATTCATGCCGACACTTTCCTTCCTTCTGGAGTGTGGTTACTTTTGTTCCCCATTGTCTCTGTGTGTGTTGTAAAGTTGCCACCACTCCAAGCTCGCTCCCGTGATAGACTACAATCTCATGTTTAGTTTAATAATTTGTATTGAGATACATTTTTGTTAATAGTTAAAGAACTTTAAAGATTTAACTCCTGAGTTTAGTGTCCCTTTAACAAAACAGATAATTGACTAGTTGAAAGTAGGGATGTTCAGATACCCAGTACCGTACTCGGTACAAGTACAGATACTTTTCGAGCTCCAAGACTAGACTAGAGAAACATTCAAAAGTTAGGAGGCATCTGTAATTTTTAAGGATCATATGGGGCTCCTGGGATTTGTTCATCCCTGTTTTAATGCATGATTTTTGTTTTATAAATATATATTAGGGATGCATTGATACCATTTTTTCAAGTACTGATACTTGCTAAAGTACTCACAGATACGAGTACTGACACATTTTTGTTTATTGTCATGTGACAGTTTTCCTAAAACAATACAGACTAATGATTTCAGGACAATGGTGGAGAGCCAGAGCTAGGTCCCAGCTGCAACCTCTGCAACCCTGGTAGGTCTTGTAAAAATGCCAAGTATCGGCACTGGTATCTGAACTGGCATCTGAACATCCCTAGTTGAAAGACTTCAACAAATGTTATTGTTGCCACAAACCTCCTGACATTGGTAAGGGATGTGACAGTTTGAGGCATCACATGGCTGGCCAACTGTCCTTGTAGGTGTTCACATCACATTGTCTCTGTATGAGTGAGCATCTATCATTTTCTTTCACCATACATGCACTGTCAGATACCAACAGTCCAGCAGTGTAAGCAAGAATTATCTAATCCCTCAACACCCTACAAGTGCATCCTTATTTGTGAAGCGACAGGCAGGTGGCTGCTTTGCTAGTATGAGCATCAAATGTATCCAACCGGGGCAGATCCAGTGCATTGGGGGAAATGTACTAAAACTAGAGCAGACAGAATCTGGAACAGTTTCCAATCAGTTTCTATATTTAGGTGGTTCAGTTACGCTTTGAAAATGAAGGAAGCTGGTTGCCATGCGCATCTGCTCCAGTTTTTGCTGCTCTATATTCCCCTTATGTATCTAGAGTCTAGATACATAAGGGGAATATAGAGCAGCAAAAACTGGAGCAGATGCGCATGGCAACCAGCTTCCTTCATTTTCAAAGCGTAACTGAACCACCTAAATATAGAAACTGATTGGAAAATGTTTTAAATGTTAGTCAGTTAGCAGTAACTAGTATCTAGAGTCTAGATACATAAGGGGAATATAGAGCAGCAAAAACTGGAGCAGATGCGCATGGCAACCAGCTTCCTTCATTTTCAAAGCGTAACTAGATTCTAGACATAGTTGACCTGAAAACACCATTGATTTTATGTAGAAAAAGTCCATGACCAGCAAATCAAAGTCTCAGCTATTCTTTTTTTTTTCTCTTGCAACACTTACACAATTTAAGTAGCTGGGAAATCAAATAAAGCATTAAATGTTTGGTCTAAATTGTATTTATCACGCAATATCACTGTATATGAATGTGCAAGCTAATTCACTTTAATGCTGGTAATATGACATAGCACAAGGCATGTATGTCACAAGATGCTATTTCCAAGACATATTTAACAAATACAGCAGTTGAAGACACTAGAATCTTTTGGAAACTATCATGTGCCTATTTTAGCATGGAAAGCATTATCATTTATAATGTATAACTACCATTGTGCAAAAGTGAAGCACAAAACCGGGGGCTACATGCAGCTCATTTGCACTTACTGTGCAGGCCCTCACACAGTGGTCTGTTTTAGTGCTTACTCAAACCAGTAAATGAAAAAAAATATTTTGAGTGACTTCTAAAAATTATTGGTATGGTTTATTTCTTTCACAACATCTTACTACTGGCTGTACTGGCTGCCTTTTTTTCTTTTATAATAGACTTTACTAAGATAAATATCAAATGTGGCACCAGTCATTTTTAACAGGGCTGTAGGAAGTACAAATGTGGAGAAATAGCAGTGGGCATTTGCAGTAGGCAATCTATGTAATATGTCTCCAGTCTCCTGCAGCATATCTCCAGTTTACAAAAACTCCTATAGCATGTTTACAGTCTCTGACCATTTCCCGTTGCACATCTTCAATCCCTGACAATATCTATTGAATGCAATACTGCAGAAAGTTATGTGTGCCCTTTGGTAATGTCAGGGGCAACACTTGAGCCCCCCGCTATCAACTAAATTGACTATTATTATTATACAGGATTTATATAGCGCCAGTTTGCACAGTGCTTTACAACATAAGTAAGACATTACAATTACAATACAATTCAAGACAAGATGGGAAGGAGGGCCCTGTCCGTGAGGGCTTACAATCTAAAGGGTGGGGGAAATTACTGCTGCTCTATATAAAAGTTTCTAACATAGCATAGAAGTCCCACTACGTATACAAAATATAAGAATGTTAACTAAATGCAGTATACATTAAGCAACAATCGATTGGCCTCCTGTTTATTTAAATGCTATAAAGCAAAAGATGTTTGAAAGAGATACTCATTTTTAAGCAGCTGCAGAGTGGTCACAATCACATCAAAGGAGCCCATGGGATGTGTATGTGGGATGGGGGTGGGTGGGTAAGGGGTTCTTAATGCCACAACATCTGTTATTTTTCCTTATGATGCATCTGACTCAGAGTTTGGTGGTGACGCTAATGTAATGCTTTAAATGACACAGAAACCAGTTCAGTGTGACACAGAAGATATATTAGGAAGAAGGGTGGTATTTAACAAGATGATCTGGTCCAATATAATACCAGACTGACATCATTATCCAGACCCAGGGCTACTTCTAAATTGGGCTTTGAAAGATTTATGTACACTCCCTAGCCTAAAAACTAAAGTTATCTTTTCTTAAAGAATAATAAAGGCCGACATATGCAAAGAAAATTAATTTACAGAGGTTTCACCAATGGCCACGTTAATGACATGGAGGTATCACATACCCATTTTAACTTACAATAAGGGCAAGGAGTGGTTGCGTCTGTATACCAAAAACCTTGGCATGTCCTCTCGTGGCCTTTATTGTTTTGCCTGTGGGAAAAAAAGAAGTGCCTAGGCCATATAAAATATATGGAAAGGATGCACCAAGGCTGTCCAGACCTTGGAACAAAATATCATTGAGCAGGCACAAAAATAAAGATATACTATGTTTGCAAAGAACACCCTTCTCAATCAGAAATTGGACTACAACGTTCCTAGGAAAAGGTATTTCACCCTACATTTGATTGAACAACACTATGTGTAACACTAATAGTCAAAGACTACATTATGCACTACGGTAGCTTAGTAGTAAATACAAGCTTGTTTGAGGGCACTCTGTGGCATCTGGTAAAAGTGTGCAAACTCTATAAGCTTCACCTCACATTTGTTAATGGGGAGAACTGCTGTAGCACCATGGTCTACAGAAGCAATAAGGTTTGTTTTATCATACACTGTTAGGTAATGATCTGTAAAACGTCTTGAATTTGGCCCAATAAAGAGAAGGAAAGCTCCCCCAGTGTGTGTGATCACTAATGCTGGAAATATTAACAAGAATGGATTAGCAAAATTAAACAGTAATTAAGAAAGAAAGGTATCAGAGAGGATTTGCATAAATTCGTTTTTAATAATCTGTTCTGTGTTCTGCATCTAGATTTGGTTTATTTCTATTTTTTGTGTCTTTTAGTGTGAAATGTTTCTTAACAATGTTTTGATCCTTTTTCTTTTGTTCTATAGATCAAGTCTTTGGCTGTCGCCTAGATGCTCTTTGCCTTCGAGAGCACAGCACTGTCCCAAAGTTTGTGCGGCTGTGTATAGAAGCTGTAAATGAAAGAGGTACAAGATACTTTAGTTACTTGCTTGATTAAAGTCTGAATGAGTAACGTCAACTCCCACCACCACTAGGTTCTATATGATCCCAATTTTTCAAATGATACAGCTGGTAATTAATATTTCAATATGCCATACAATTGGTTAAATGGGTTGGAAAAGCTTCTTCTTGGCATAATAAAAGTTTTACGTTTCACCACAAGGGCCAATCATTCTAGGCATGTGGGACAATATAAATATACACAAACAAAAAAAATGTTTTAACTAAGATGTCATTGTATGTCTGAAGTAGCTGGAGAATATGAGCTGGAAACTAAGCATAGAGAAGGAAATGATGTCTCTTGATTCTGACTGGATGTCAGCAGATTATAAGTCAAAGCAGCAATTGTATTAGCACACCTAACATCTTTTAGATATGCAAACATATCATTTTATAAAACTAAGCTTCTGTAGTTTGCAGTTACTGCTAACTGACTATATTTTTCAGCTCAACACTATACAAGCGCACAGTTATTCGTTCAGCCCTTGGGGCTCGATTCCCCCATCCACACTAAACAGTGTGGATAAAGGGAACCCCCGGGCTATTGTATTCTAACAGCGGCAGGTGTGCCACTGTCATCATACCCGTACAGTAACTGATGCAAATTTGTTGCTATAAAAAAAGACTTGGCCAAGTCAGCCAAAATTCGAGCAGTGTATAGCCAGCTTAAGACCCATTTTATTGCAAGCTGTGTGATAATAACATTCACCGGACAATTGCTGGTCATAAAAGGGCAGATATTTGTTCTGATAATGAAATTCCAGATATTTAACTGTTTTTTAATAATCAGCATAATAGTATAACAGAATAATACTGACATAGTCCAACATTTGGACATCTCCGGCAACCCGTTGGTCACATAACTTTTGTACAGTATAAGGCTTGTTTGTACGTATGTATTGTTTTACTGAATTTACAAATGATATGATGAAACTAAGTGGGTACTGAAAACCATCAGGCTGTACTCAACCTTATAAAATATACATTGACATTTTGTATTAACTTTCTTAAACAGCAAAAATACTTTCCAGGCCAAAGGGTTGCCCATCCCGACTGGTACATATTCATAGTGATAATATTGTTTACCCATATGATGTAACCAGCAAGTGTTAATTAACTGTTCTAAAGCTCTTTCTGTTCTTCATGCATCCTAGGGCTGGATGTAGATGGCCTTTACAGAGTGAGTGGAAACTTGTCCGTCATACAGAAACTGAGGTTTATAGTAGACAGAGGTAAGGAGATCCATCTGGTACACCATTACAGTGAAATTGATTGGTAACATGATACTGTTGGAATGAATAAAAAAATATAGATGTCAAGATCTATCACTTTCATTGTGTATACATATTTAATATAATTGTTAAGAAGCAACCAATATATGAGCCAGCCTTCAATGCAGCTCAAATGCATTTATCTGGAGCTTGTGAATGATCAGTAGGCTGCCCTATTATTTTTCAGAGAGGGCAGTAACCACGGATGGACGGTACCTTTTTCCGGAGCAGCTCTCCCAAGGTAGCCCCTTGTGTTTTGGCTACAATGCTGTGTATGTCATAGCAGATGTGCCCATTAATAACTGTGCTTCCAGAGCTGCCATTATCGTCCACGTCTGCCAATATGTCCAAGGCTGAAATGTCTGAATCGGCCATGTTTCCATGTTGATGTGTGTGTTTGCAGTGATATTTATGCACTTTTCATTGGCTCTGACTAACCGCTTTTGTTCAGTTTGTACTAGTCTTCGTATCAGTTAGGTAATCTAGAAAGGAAAAGAGAATAATCGGTGATCAACTTACTTGATGTAGGGGACCTCAACTGGGTTGTTAGATATGGACAGGTGATAGTCAGAGTCTATGGGAATGCTACAAGAGATGGTCAGTGAGTCCAGACATATAACAGGAGATGGTTGGAGACACGATTTACTTCTATGGAGACATAATACTTGAGATAGCTAGAAACCACTTCCATGACAGCCCCTTTATAAATCAATACTTTCACATTTGTGATCTATACAGCGCCCTTTAAAACTCAATGTTTTTTTATATTACTCTGATTAAGAACCAGTATACCAGAATAAAAAAGAGAAAAGGGATGAACAGCAAAGTTAAAAAAAATAATAATATTTTTCCTTCACTGGCTTAATTAAACTCTTACTTAAGGAAAACACAGACTACAGTTTATAGGGTCCCTAATGGCCAAACAGTAAGTGCTAAAGAGTCGTAGGTTGCATACCACGGAATAAGAGAGAGCTAGTCAGTGAGTTAAAATGATGCTGTCACTATTTTAAAAATCCATGTGCTTAAAAATGGCTGAATGAAAAAGTTTCTCACAGCTACCAATCAAATTAAAAAGACACTCCAGATGCCTTGGAATTTTTAATGTAATTTTTTATACATGGAGCTGGGATAGAGAAGGTTAAATAACATAGACTTCAGGAATTAGATGTATGCTGTCCTTCTACTGACCCCTTCACGGCTATGTGTATTTATTCTACAAGGTTTTACACAAATTTCATAGTTCGGAAAATTGAGTTAATGATTAGATGTTCACATAGCTGTTTTGGTTATGGATAGCATTAGTAGTTTACTGAATGTTTTCACCTGTTTCTTTGAATGAGTCTTTAATTATAATTAGCTTAGATACAGGGAAGTATTTGCCATGGGTGGAGAGGAGGATCTTGCCTCCAGAGTTTTGGTTTACAGTAGCAATTTACTGGAGGCTTTTGAATTATCTTTTTTCAGAGACTAGATGGTCCTTGTAATGTTTTTCCAGTCCCCAATAGAGTCCTGGTAGTACAGGTACACATTGAAAACCTTCTCTGTGTTTCTTCATATGTATGCCTTTCTAAATGAGTCAGGTATGTTATAGAAGCACACACAAGCTGTAAAGATTAAAAGGTTTGTGTTTAACTTTTATTGGGCTTTAAAAACATAGGACTTCAAACGAGTTACATAAATTCTAGTTATTAAAAGAACCTTTGAATTGTAGCATGTTTGTGTTCTTTATGTTAAGTTGTGTCTATATATTTGCATGCTTTATTTGTTATTCTTATTGTGTTTGAATGACTTTTCTATTCTGCTTTTAATTGTGTTAATATGAATTCCTTTGTTTATCTTAGAACAACCCAATATAGGTTACAATATTCTTCTCTGACTTTATATTGTTAATCGTTGTTATTTTTTTTAAAACTATATGTCATAGAATTTTATAAATAGGCTACATTATTAGAAAATTAAGAAATGTACCTTCTGCGCTAATATAAATAAATATAGAATAACCCTATAAAGCAGTTCCCACCCTAGTGGATACCTCCCCTATTCCGACCTTATAATAATTGCATAAATTATGATGCAACAGTTACAAAAATAAAGGAGAAAAAGCTTAACTCCTAAAATAATGTAAAAGAAAATAAAACAACTGCCAGTATACTGTATAACAATCAAAATAAATGACTGGTGTGGTTACATATTCCTCCAGTAAGAAACATGCACTTGTGCTACCAACAGCAAATGTGCAAAGTACAACATTAAAATACATTAACAAGAAATGATTCAACATATGCAGGCAAAATAAACAAATTTTAGTTCTTAATTTGATATACAATGCCCATGTGTATCCACTCAAAGGGTCCTATTTATCTTTATACACTGTGAATCCACACCACACCATAGTCTACAGAAACATAAGTCAGTCTTCCTTACATACACCCTAATATTTGTAAGTAATACAGCTGACCTGTGCACCATTTGTAACTGCCAGACAGTGGAAGGTAATGCCTGAATAATATAGAACACATATGAATGTGACAGGTGCTCACTATTGTGTTTATTTATAACCCCTTCCGACCAGTGTATAGTTGGGTGGATGCTGTACAATTGAACACGACACTTGATGGCATTGAGAAACTAAGGTGGTTATTCACAAAGCGGCAGAAAGCAGCCGTGTGAATAACCAACCCGAAGTGAAGTGAGCCGAACGCTGTTCGGCTATTCACTTCAGGCTTGTATGGCTGATTTCAGCCGTACACCGACTGAAATCAGTCGTACATCGGCTTGCTTTCAGTCCCCTCTTCTGTCCCTGCCAGTCATGTGTACAGGTTTTCTGTTCCTGAATAGAGAGCGAATATTCAGGTCCTTCCTGGTGTTATGTCTATCCTCTGTTTTTGGCCTTTTTATTGAAGAAAAGGTAATATTAAAGAAATTGAGGTAAATATAAAGAAAGTGCTGGAAAAAAGGGCTTTTTTTTTTTTTTAACAAAAGAACACATTGAGGCTGATTTACTAAAGGAGTTGAGAATCGGCACTCATTTTATCAGCTACAGTTTATTAAGTGAAGATTCTCAACTCCTTTAGTAACTCAGCATTGTCATATCCACGGACATTGAAATTTGCTTCATGTTTGTTTCATTTGTTTTATGTTGAAACGACTCCATCTGAATTGATTTAAATGGCAAACTGCAGGTCAATGCACACAAAACACTGCGACACAGTGGGGTTGGGGCAAATAGGTTTTTCACTTTGCAAGTGAATGAGGTGAGCCTCTGCTGACTTCCATCAGCCAATCGTGTGCAAGCAAAAATTTCGGTAATTTTTACGATGTGAATTTTCACCACATTTACTAAATCTTTCCTTAATCACTTTCATTTTGCTTTAAGGTGCCCATACACTGCACGATTTTCGTACGAGAATAGCAGTAAATCCCGCGATCGTACGAGAATCGTACAGTGTATGGAAGGCGTGCGACCGTTTCTAATGTGCGGTCGCACAACTTTTGTATATCGAGCATGTTGGAAAACCAGCCTGGAATCGTACGATTTTCGGCTGGATTTTAACACGATCGAGAGATCACTGCCGAACGGTCCGGTGTGCGCACGCGCACACTGCCCGTTCAGCATTGCAGTCATCGGAAGCCCGCCCCTCAGGGGGGCGGGCTTGCAATGTTTGCAGGTACAATCTGCCTGTCAAAATGGGCAGATCGTAAGTTTTTTAAATTACTTTACAACCCTCGCAAGACAAAAGTCTTGCGAGGGTTGTAATGTGTATGGGCACCTTTGGATAGATGTACTGTATAAGTTCTATACTAAGTTGTAGCAACTGGAACATCACCATTACTTGTTACTATTATTTAGAATAAAACAGGAACAACATTTAGGGATGGAAACACACACACAAACTCACAACACACACACACACACACACACACACACACACACTAGGCAAATAGGAGATGATCATAATGTGTTTTATTTTTTGGTGAATGCAGAAGAGAAGTTGGATCTTAATGACAGTGAGTGGGAGGATATTCACGTCATCACAGGTGCTCTAAAAATGTTCTTCCGTGAACTTCCAGAGCCTCTTATCCCTTTTAGCATGTTCGAAGAATTTGTATCAGCAGTTCGTAAGTAGATCTTATTATATAAAAACTTTGTACATTATACCTGTAATATATGAAATAATATGATGTCATCTTTTCTTCTATGTGCTGCAACAACTTGCAATGGTATCTCCTGCAAGTACTCTTACAACCCAAATTCCATAAAATTTGGGACGCTGTGTAAAATCTACATAAAAACAGAATGCAACGATTTGCAAATCTCATAAACCCAAATTTTATTCACAATAGAAAATATAAAACATAAAAAAATGTTTAAACTGAGATAATGTACCATTTAAAGAAAAATGTAATTCTGAAATTGATGGCAGCAATACGTCTCAAAAAAATTGGGACAGGGCCATGTTTCCACGGTGTAGCATCCCCTCTTTTAATTACACACTATAAACATCTGGGAACTGAGGAGACCAGTTGCTGGAGTTTTTGTAGAGGAATGTTGGCCCATTCTTGCCTGATATAGGATTCTTACTGCTTAACAGTCCTGGGTCTTCTTTGTCATATTTCTCATTTCAAAATGCGCCAAATTGTTTTAATTGGTGAATGGTCTGGACTGCAGGCAGGCCAGTTAAGCACCCCAATTCTGCTACTATGAAGCCATGCTGTTGTCATAGATGCAGTATGCGGTTTAGCATTGTCCTGCTGAAATATGCAAGGCCTTCCCTGAAAAAGAAGTAATCTGGATGGGAACATATGTTGCTCTAAAACCTGGATATATCTTTCAGCACTGATGGTGCCTTTCCAAATGTGCAAGTTGCCAATTCCATACGCACTAATGCACCCCCATGCAGACTTTTAATCTGAGTGCTGAAAACAAGCCTGAAGGTCCCTCTACTCTTTAGTTCTGAGGATGCAGTGCCCATGATTGCCAAAAAGAATGTAAAATGTCCATTTGTCTGACCACAGAACAGTTTTCCCCTTTGGAACAGACCATTTTAAATGAGCTTTGTCCCAGAGAAGACAGCAGCGCTTCTGGATCATTTTCAGATATTGCTTCTTCTTTTCTGCATTATAGAGCTTTAACTGGCATATTTGGATGTCACGGCGAACTGTGTTCACATACAGTGATTTTAAGAAGTATCCCTGAGCCCATGCAGTGATGTCCATCACAGAATCATGCCTGTATTTAATGCAGTGCCGTCTGAAGGCCCAAAGATAACGGGCATCCAATATTGCGGCCTTGCCCTTTGCGCACAGAGATTTCTCCAAATTCTTGGAAACCTTTGATGCTATTACATATTGTAGATGATTATATTTTTAAAGTCTTTGCAATTTTACGTTAAGGAACATTATTCTGAAATTGTTTGACAATCTTTAGATGCAGCTTTTTACAGATTGGTGAACCGCTGCCCATCTTTACTTCTGAGACACTCTGACTCTCTAAGATGCTCTTTTTATATCCGATCACGTTACTGGCCTTTTGCCAATATACTAAATTCGTTCTTCCAGCTCTTCCTTGTTAGTACCACTTACTTTGCCAGCTTTTTGTTGCCCTATCCCAACTTTTTTGAGACGTGTTGCTGCCATCAATTTCAAAATTACCCTTTTTTTTCTTAAAATGGTCCATTTTCTCAGTTTTAAACATTTTTTATGTTTTCTTTCGTGAATAAAATATGGGTTTATGATATTTGCAAATCATTGCATTCTGTTTTTATGTAGATTTTAAACAGCGTCCCACCTTTGGTATTGGGGTTGTAGAAGGAACTGTGTTCATGTGAAGTGTTGAAATGGATGATCTACTGACCCACAGGGTTCCTGCTCATGGGATTTTTCCAAATTATACTTTCTGCAGTACTTTTAAAAGAGAAAAAATTAAGATGAAAAAAATATATTGAAGTTTACCACATGTGGTGTTTGCACTCATTTTCTTCTATTTTCATCTGGTGATTGTGCCAATAACACACTTCCTGTCCCAGGCTGACAACACTTACTCACTGTACTGTATCTGTGGACGAGCAGTTTTATCACCCTAGGCTGCTCACTCCTGATCAGGGCTACAGAACACCTCCCCTCTCATCTCCATAAATTAGGAGGGAAGTGTGTAGTTCACAGAGGAACAATGGGCAGAACTGAAAACACTGATTAAAATTTGAGTCCAGAGCAGAGCACAGGAAGTCAGGAGCTTACTTGATTTCTGGCAGATCAACTCGGTATTTTTCTGTATTTGCTGAGTACTGAGTTTTTAAAGCAACAAAACTATATTGCGGGGATGTACTGAATATACCCTTTATTTATTTTGCCTTCACATACACTTCAATTTGAAAAAAAGTATAAAGACAAAACAAACAGAGGAAAAGAGGGGGGCTTTATAGGTACCTAATGATAGTACTAACAAAATCAAAATTATACATATTCATTGCATAATATTAAAAAACATACCTATGAAAATAAAATATCTTTTCATGTGCATAACAGAGAAAAGATGGTAAAAGGAACACCTCCTTTGAACCAAATGATAAAGGTCAATCCAAATAAGCTAGCAGCCAAATATTCAGGAGTATCATAGGCCCAGATAGTTTACATTCTCAATGCATTTCTGGAAGCTTCCTCAAGAGGGAGGTGTTCTGGTCAGCACATCAGCGGTGTAAAAGTATATACATGTCACTGTGGTGGAGACTGCAGGAGGGAATACAGGTGAAATTCGAATAATTAGAATATCGTGCAAAAGTTCATTTATTTCACTAATGCAACTTAAAAGGTGAAACTAATATATGAGATAGACTCATTACATGCAAAGCAAGATCGTTCAAGCCGTGATTTGTCATAATTGTGATGATTATGGCTTACAGCTCATGAAAACCCCAAATCCACAATCTCAGAAAATTAGAATATTACATGCAATCAATAAAACAAGGATTGTACATAGAACAATATCGGACCTCTGAAAAGTATAAGCATGCATATGTACTCAGTACTTGGTTTGGGCCCCTTTTGTCAATAACAGGTGAGGAGTGTGCTGCCACAGCAGCCTGTTTATTTTTGGTGCCCTTGGTATATTCCTCTGTGCCCCATCCTGTTTGGTGCTGGTTAGTACAATCCCTAGCTAGATACTCCCTGTTCGGTATAGTATAAGGCAATTCAGCACTTGATTCCAAGTTGAAGTACTTTATTCTCCATAGACCGCAATATACAATTAACACGATCTGCTAGCGTGTTTCAGTCTTAATCCTAGCTATGATTAAGGCTCCACGTGATTGAAACATGTTAGCAGATTGTGCCCCTTGTATACCTATGTTTGTGGAGAATAAAGTATTGAAACTTCCAGGCTTATTCACAAAAGAGTTTGGAGAAGGCAGGATAAGTGAGCAATCTAGGCCAAAATAGCTGATTTTGAAAAGTTCTCCAATTCAGATCACTTTCCAAATCAGCTATGTTGTCCTAGATTGTTCACTTCTCCTGCCTTCTCCAAATTCTTCACACTTTTGTGAATAACCCTGTTTGTATTGAGTGCTGGATTAATTGCCTTATACTGGATTTGGAGATGAATGGTTATTCTTCCATGCTCCAGTGCAGCAGGAATCCTAGGTGTCCTCATTCAGATGCAGTAAATTACAGGTTAACAGCGTCCGCATGTGTCAGCAGCAGTCCGCATGTCATTGTACATGCTACCTGTCATTTCAATGGATACAGCACCCGCATCTGAATGAGGACACCTAGGAATCCTACCTCAAGAGTCCATAGGTTCTTGCCACAGGAATCCCAGAATGCGGCGTTTGTCCCAATGTGTGTGGCTGACCGTATCACCATATGAAAGTAAAGGAAAAACACGTAAAAAAAGAAAACGAATGTGGCCTCCACTTCTAAGGACTGTTGAGCTGCCCTATATCACATTTTTCTTCTTGGGTTTAGATACGTTTTAAGATGCTGTACAAAATGCAGAAGACAATGTTGATAGTGTGCCTTGAATTGGACATTGAAATGCCAACAGATGATTTCATAAGAACAAAAATAGCTGCTGAATTCTACAAACTACCTATTAAATCTTCCTTTGTTCTGAACAGAAATTCCTGATTTGCCTGAGAGGATACAGACTATGAAAGAACTTGTTGGGAACCTTCCTGGATCAAACTATGCCACCCTAAAATACATCATCTGCCACCTGAGCAGGTATGATATCTATGGGGAATCGGGGCCGGATTAACTCTCCCTGCCGCCCCAAGGCCAGGTTCCACAATACGTCCCCCCCCCCCTCTGCCAATCCCCCCTCCCCATCAATTGAGAATGGCAACCAGATCCTTACACTGGTGCCCGCAAATTCCCCACAAGGTCACCGCTGCCGCCCCTGTGCGCTCTACCGGGCCTCGGTGGCCTTTGTGGGAAATCCGGGCCTGTGGGGAATGCAGGGAAATATGAATTGCTTGTAAGCTGTGCCTATTACCCCTTTGAAAACCAGCACCATGAACATAATGAAATGTGAAGGACTGTGATGTGTTGAAGTTGTGCATTTTGGTGCCATTTGCAAACCAAGCACAGAGTAGGAAGAAGCCGCATTGTACAACTCAGGAGCTGATAGGAAGACAACATATGAAACAGGTGTGTGTGTATACTGGGCATCTTGGCAGGAACACCTGCCAGCATTTGTAAGGAAGACTTCTGGCCCTAGCCAGAGCATAGTGGAAGATTGTGTAGTCAACCTTCTAACAGAAAACAAAACTGCTTAGGCCCAAAATGTCCACTAAGAACTGTGACTAAGTAACTCTTACCCATTCTGTGCCTTATTAAGAATATCTGTTACGCTCTGTTCCTTCAACTTCTGTAAAGAAAGTGTTAATGTATATGATTATGTGTTGTACATAATTACATGTTTCGGTGTGGGCTTCTGCCTCAGGAAGTGTCTACTACTTTGTTACAAACATCTTCTTTTAATTAGATTCTCGCTAGAACACAGCTCTAAGTTGAAATAATAAATCTGTTGGCAGGCGTCCTTGGCATTGAATGTCTGTAGCGACCAACCTGTTTCTGGATCCTATACATGAGATACACTGTGATGAAATTAGGGATAATTTGAGGGGTTGTAGTCTATACACTGGTATTAGTTGAATCCGGGGGAAACCCACACAAGCACCGGGAGAACATGCAAACTCCTTGCAGATAGTGTCCTGACCGGGATTCAAACTGGAGACCCCGAGTGCTGCATAGCAGAGGTGCTAATCACTAAGCCACACAGCTGTATGTGAGTAAGTCATGGGGAAAGGTTTGTAATGAAAAAAACCTTTGTTAAATATAATCATAAATAAGCCCTGTTGATGACATGGTGTACAGTGGATGACCTCTCTTTTACTAATGTGGCTGCAGCAAATGTTTAAACAGATTCTGAACTCCTGTAAACTGGTCCTGGGAGCATGTCCAATGTAAAGCTGAGCGCCAAACAGCCTCCAGGGCACAAGCAGCATTGACTCCAACAATTCTCATACTACATTCTACCTGTAGGTGGCATCAGAGAACAGCATTACTGTTATACTCAGAAATCATTTTTTTTTCCTTCACCCTTTCTAAGGACTTTGCACAGTTTAAAATATTATATTATATTAAATTATATGTTTATGCATTTTAGTAAAAAATGTCAGTATTGATTGTCATTCTTTTACATTTTCTGCTACTACTTGTAATTACTGAAAAATGTGCTCTGATTTCTAGTAGTTATAATATATATTTATGTGCGTTCCATCTCCCTCTTCCTCTCAAATCCCTATTGTTCTATGCCTTTTTACATGAGTTATTATAATTAAAAAGTGGTAAATGACTGATTTGCCATTCATTATATTATGGCCGATGTTATATTCAGGGGTCAAAATTTCAAGTCCTGAGCTACTAGCCAGGCCTTAAGAGTTACCCGCCACCAGTTGCCCAACCTAACACCTGCCCTGCCCCAGCCTTAACTCCGCCCCTAAATACACCCTCTAAAATAATTTCCTGCCCCAACATATAAAATAATACACTCACCCCCCCTGTTCCCTGCTCCCCACATATAAAATATTACACTGGAGTGATTGCTCCAGCGAGGAGGGGAGGCGGATGGAGGATCAGGAGAGGCAGATCCTGGTAGTGGGAGATTCCATCATCAGGCGAACCGACAGGGTAATCTGTCATCGGGACCGTGAGCGTCAAACAGTGTGCTGCTTACAGGGGGCGCGTGTTCGGCACATTGCTGAACGAATTGACAGGTTAGTAGATGGGGTTGGGCACAACCCAGTTGTCATGGTGCACATCGGCACCAATGACAAAATAGGAGGTAAATGGAGTGTTCTAAAAAAGGAGTTCAGAGACTTAGGTGCCAGGCTGAAGGAAAGGACCTCCACGGTGGTATTCTCTGAGATACTGCCAGTGCCAAGAGCCACTCTGGACAGACAGCGCGAGTTGAGGGAACTTAACAAGTGGCTCCGGAACTGGTGTTGGAATGAGGGCTTTGGTTTCCTGGAGAACTGGGCCGACTTCTCAGTCGGTTACCGGCTCTGCAGCCGAGACGGGCTGCACCTTAATGGGGAAGGTGCAGCATTTCTGGGGGGTAAAATGGTTAAAAGACTGGAGGAGCTTTTAAACTAGATAATGGGGGGGGGTAAAATAAAAACCAAAAAATTAAATATTAAACAACCACTAGTGAGAGATAACTCAGAAGGAAAAAAAACAGGATTAGATAGTGGGCTCACTCCAGTCAACAGAGTCAACATAGTCAAAGTAGTAAATCAAGCCAAGATAGAGAGTATACTAAATGTAGTCAATAAGTAAATCTAATTGCCCAAGGTGATGCAAGTAGGAATGGGCCAACCGTAACAGGTAGGGATGCACCGATACCGATACAAGCATCGGTATCGGCCGCGATACCGAGTATTTGCATGGGTACTCGTACTCGTGCAAATGCTCCGATGTCCAAAACGAGTACCTGCGTCCGCCATCTATCACCGCCGCACACAGCACACAGGACCGCGTCTGCATTCATGCAAGATGGCCACGAACTCCTTCTCCACGGGCGAACGGCCGAAACCAGACTCCGCCTTCAATTCCTCTGTCCTCACTCGTGATTGGGGGGGAAAAAATGTTGTTGATGTTCACCAACGCTAGAAGTCTAGTAAATAAAATAACAGACCTTCAAGTTAGGTTACTCGAGGAGGACTACGATATAGTAGGAATAGCAGAAACATGGTTAGACGGCACACATGATTGGGCTACTAACATAGAAAGGTACAACCCGTTCAGGAGGGACAGGCTGGCAAGAAGGGGGGGGGGTATGTATATATGCTTAAAATAACCTCATTATGCACATCCGTGACAATATCGCGTCAGCTGGTGGGGATGATGTGGAATCGTTATGGATAGAACTAGATAGAACGAACTCTAACCGTAAACTTATTGTGGGTGTCTGTTATAAACCTCCAAATATAGGGGAGGAGGCCCACCTACAATCCCAAATAGAAATAGGGTAATGTTGTGGTAATGGGAGACTTCAATTACCCAAGCATCAACTGGGCTAATGGAACTTCCAAATCGGCGAAGGCAGCCCGTTTTCTTAATATCAGACAAAAAGTTTTCTTTAGCTCTTGGCGCTAATGGCTGCCAGCTGAACAATTCACTTGCTGTTGCACACTCAAAGTTTTCAACAGTTTATCACAGTTTTTTTACACAGACTTGAGGGGCTGCTCATCCAAGGCTCTGGGGCTTCCACCACGAACATAGAAAACAAAAGGGAACAGAGCGCCACCTCCATGTGTAAAATCGTTTATTAAAATAAATATAACAAAGGATAAAAGTACTCACACACAAACGTTTTCATCAGGCTTTAACAAAAAACGAGAGGCCACACTGTCTGTTAACCCAATATGGTATCCCCCCGACTCAACTA